GCCTCAGCCTGCCTCAGCATCAGCCTGCCTCAGCCTCAGCCTCAGCCTGCCTCAGCCTCAGCCTCAGCCTGCTTCAGCCTCAGCCTCAGTCTGCCTTCAGCCTCGGCCTCAGCCTCAGCCTGCCTCAGCCTCAGCCTGCATCAGCCTCAGCCTCAGCCTCAGCCTGCCTCAGCATCAGCCTGCTTCAGCCTCAGCCTCAGCCTGCCTCAGCCTCAGCCTCAGTCTGCTTCAGCCTCAGCCTCAGTCTGCCTTCAGCCTCGGCCTCAGCCTCAGCCTGCCTCAGCCTCAGCCTGCATCAGCCTCAGCCTCAGCCTCAGCCTGCCTCAGCATCAGCCTGCTTCAGCCTCAGCCTCAGCCTGCCTCAGCCTCAGCCTCAGTCTGCTTCAGCCTCAGCCTCAGTCTGCCTTCAGCCTCGGCCTCAGCCTCAGCCTGCCTCAGCCTCAGCCTGCATCAGCCTCAGCCTCAGCCTCAGCCTGCCTCAGCATCAGCCAGCCTCAGCCTGCCTCAGCCTCCCTCAGCCTCAGCCTCAGCCTGCTTCAGCCTCAGCCTCAGTCTGCCTTCAGCCTCGGCCTCAGCCTCAGCCTGCCTCAGCCTCAGCCTGCATCAGCCTCAGCCTCAGCCTCAGCCTGCCTCAGCCTCAGCCTGCTTCAACCTCAGCCTCAGTCTGCCTTCAGCCTTGGCCTCAGCCTCAGCCTGCCTCAGCCTCAGCCTGCATCAGCCTCAGCCTCAGCCTCAGCCTGCCTCAGCATCAGCCTGCCTCAGCCTCAGCCTCAGCCTGCCTCAGCCTCAGCCTCAGCCTGCTTCAGCCTCAGCCTGCATCAGATCTGCCTTCAGCCTCGGCCTCAGCCTCAGCCTCAGCCTCAGCCTCGGCCTCAGCCTCAGCCTCCTCAGCCTCAGCCTGCCTCAGCCTCATTCAAAAAATGTGGCCCGGAAATGGAACTCTGGGAACTCGAAGAGCACGAAGTGGCCTACAGTTGGCTCCGGGCATTCAAAATCATGCCCAGGAATGGAGTTCTGGGAACTCGAAGACCACGAAGTGGCCTACAGTTGGCTCCGGGCATTCAAAATCATGCCCAAGAATGAAGTTCTGGGAACTCGAAGACCACGAAGTGGCCTACAGTTGGCTCCGGACATTCAGAATGTGGCCCGGGAATGGAGTTCTGGGAACTCGAAGAGCACGAAGTGGCCTACAGTTGGCTCCGGGCATTCAAAATGTGGCCCGCGAATGGAGTTTTGGGAAGTCGAAGAGCACGAAGTGGCCTACAGTTGGCTCCGGGCATTCAGAATGTGGCCCTGGAATGGAGTTCTGGGAGGTCGAAGAGCACGAAGTGTGTGACTGTTTGCGAAAAACGAATTCGGACACGAGTTCGGACACAGCTCCCCGGATGCCGCCCCGACCCCCCTGTGGAGTCATCTGCTGCTCTCTTTTGAGTCCACTAGAAACCTATCAGCAAAAGCTGTTAGGTAAAAAACTGTTGATCCCCCCTCTGATGACCATTGTATTTTTCAACTGAAGTGCTCCCCTCGGGGCTCGCACCGTGTTTTTTCCCAACCATCCTGTGGTGTTGGGTCCTCGTTTTGAAGAGACAGCGCCCCGCGTCTCCTCTCCTCTCCTCTCCTCTCCTCTCCTCTCCTCCTCCTCCCCCCCCCTCCTCCCTCCTCCCATCGCCGTCATCATACTCATCGTCATCATCATCATCATCATCCTCATCTTCATCATCATCATCCTCGTCATCATCACCACCAGCATCATCATCGTCATCATCATCGCCATCGCCATTAGTTCCCAACCATCCTGTCATCATCACCACCAGCATCATCATCGTCATCACCACCAGCATCATCATCGTCATCATCATCATCATCATCATCATCATCATCATCATCATCATCATCATCATCATCATCATCATCATCATCATCATCATCATCATCATCATCATCAGCATCAGCATCATCATCATCATCAGCATCATCATCATCATCATCATCATCATCATCATCATCATCATCATCATCATCATCATCATCGCCATCGCCATTAGTTCCCATTTCCGCACACCCCTCACACGTTTCGTGGCCCCATAGGGAGCTCCACCGAAGGCCCCAGTGGCAGGGTTCGCATGCCGCCCCCACCACACTTTGGCACACCCCTCACGCGCTTCGTGGCCCCATAGGTAGCTCCACCGAAGGCCCCAGTGGCAGGGTTCGCATGCCGCCCCCACCCCACTTTGGCACACCCCTCACACGTTTCGTGGCCCCATAGGTAGCTCCACCGAAGGCCCCAGTGGCAGGGTTCGCATGCCGCCCCCACCTCACTTTGGCACACCCCTCACACGTTTCGTGGCCCCACAGGGAGCTCCACCGACGGCCCCAGTGGCAGGGTTCGCATGCCGCCCCCACCCCACTTTGGCACACCCTCACGCATTTCGTGGCCCCATAGGTGCTCTACCGAAGGCCCCCGTGGCAGGGTTCGCATGCCGCCCCCACCCACTTTTGCACACCCCTCCGCGTTTCGTGGCCCAATAGTAGCTCCCGAAGCCCAGTGGCAGGGTTCGCATGCCGCCCCCGCCCCACTTTGGCACACCCCTCACACGTTTCGTGGCCCCATAGGTAGCTCCACCGAAGGCCCCAGTGGCAGGGTTCGCATGCCGCCCCCACCTCACTTTGGCACACCCCTCACACGTTTCGTGGCCCCACAGGGAGCTCCACCGACGGCCCCAGTGGCAGGGTTCGCATGCCGCCCCCACCCCACTTTGGCACACCCCTCACGCATTTCGTGGCCCCATAGGGTGCTCTACCGAAGGCCCCCGTGGCAGGGTTCGCATGCCGCCCCCACCCACTTTTGCACACCCCTCACACGTTTCGTGGCCCCATTAGGAGTTCCACCGACGGCCAGTGGCAGGGTTTGCATGCGTCCGCGCCACCCATGTCGACACACCCTTGACACGTTTCGTGGCCCCATAATGAGCTCCACCGAAGGCCCCAGTGGCAGAGTTGGCATGCCGCCCCTCGCCCATTTCGGCCCACCCCTCACACGTTTCGTGGCCCCATAGGGAGCTCCACCGAAGGGGCCCCAATGGTTGCGTTCGCATGCGTCCCCACCACCCATTTCGGCACACCTCTCATACGTTTCGTGGCCCCATAGGGAGCTCCACCGAAGGCCCCAGTGGCTCCCCACCACCCATTTCGGCACACCCCTCACACGTTTCGTGGCCCCATAGGGAGCTCCACCGAAGGCCCCAGTGGCTGGGTTCGCATGCCTCCCCACCACCCATTTCGGCACACCCCTCACACGTTTCGTGGCCCCATAGGGAGCTCCACCGAAGGCCCCAGTGGCAGGGTCCGCATGCCTCCCCACCACCCATTTCGGCACACCCCTCACACGTTTCGTGGCCCCATAGGGAGCTCCACCGAAGGCCCCAGTGGCGCGGTGCCTATGAGAAGAGGGGCCTAGTTTGCGTGCCCCCTCCTTCGTGTCATATCCGTGCGGTACTCGCAGCTGCATATGGTTGGGTCCTTCGCCAGGCTAATTTATCAGGGATAATCACGGGGCTCAAACTGTGCTGTTGGCCCCCAATTTACAACAACAGCGGCTCTCTCCTGATACTTCCTCACAGTGTATTCCCAAATCGCGTCCTCGGGCGGGACTTCTTCACAATTTGTATATGTTTCGCGCTCTCGCGTGGGACTTCCTCGCAATTTATTCAGACGGTGCGCCCTCGGCGCTCAGGAATCACGCTCTCGCTTTGGCTTTTCTCGCGATTTCCTTGGGAATCGTGCTGTCGCTCGAGATCTCCTCGCGATTCATGCAAGACCCACGATTCAGCAACCCGCCTGCTCGACCTGGTCGCCTGCGTCCGCCTTCCCGACCTGCCCGCTATGGGTCTGCCCGCCCGATCTGCCCGTCTGGTTCTACCACTTGTTTTCTGCTCCTTGCCCCCTTCCTGCTAATTTCTCTCGTGTTCCATTCTTCTCCCTGCCCCTTCCACCCGTCTTCTCCTCCCTTGTTTTAGAGGCTGCACTAAATGCACGTGGCAAGTAAGGAAAATATGTTACCAATGGGGTACGGTCGAAGACGACGAGGGCGGGTACCGAGGGCTTGGGATATACGTATTGTTTGGTATGTGAGCAGTCTTAAACTGCTTGTTGTCATTGTTGTTCTTGTTATTATTCTTGTTATTGATATTGTTGATGTTGTTGTCGTCATTCATTGTTGCGTTATAGTAAGCTGTTCCGTTTGTTTGTTCGTTTGTTGTTCAAATGTTTGTTCCTCCAGACTGTCCCTGGCCCAATCCGGTGCCCTGGCGCTCGCCCAGTGTTGTTCGCTTAGCTACCCTGCTCCCAGCTGTTCTCGAGCTCCTTTTGCGTAGCCCTCGTTGAGGCTGTTCCCCGATCAATTTTTGCTTGGGTCCGCGCGCTGGTCTCACTTCTTTGCTGATGCTGCCAGCGCCCGCTCGTGCACCGGCAGTCCACTGCTGGCCCTTCGGAATGCCCGATGACGAGTTGTGCCTGGGGTGGGGACCTCGATCGAATCTTGGACGGCCCAGCTGAAGCGTACCAGCCTCGCAACGGAAACTGGTTGACAACACGTCAGGCCTTTCCGAGAAGCTGTCGGCCGCTTGGAGGACCTCTTGGGATACCCCTCGCCGCCCCAACGTCCCAAGGGATACCCCTCATCCAAAGAGCCCTCTGGCACCTGCTGGAAGCTGGGTGGTTTCTGCTCATGGCGCAGGCTGCCAGACTGCCCGATGCCTGGGGGATGAGCTGTTTTCTTCACCGAGACATGTGGTGAAAGCACGCCGTCATCGTGCTACCATGAGGCGCGCCGAATAAGGAACGAAGGGACTTTTCTGGTGATGGCGAGCCTCGGGCACCCCTGGGTGCCCCGGCTCAGATATGAGGAACGGCGCAGAAATCAGAGCCCCTCCTGAGTCCCAAACGGATCTTGATGTGGCGTCTTGACTGTCAGGCAACTGAGAGCCCGCTGAGGCGCTGGCGTCTGGGTACACCAGCGTCGTGGCGGCCTGGATCCCGAAAGTCAGGTCCTTACCGAGCGATCGGGTTGACGATCCAGCGATCTTCCCGCAACGCCGATCGCGACTGCGACGACTGGGCAGAGGTCACGCCACTTTTCACACGGTCGAGCCGAATGACTCCTGCCGCCGTGCCACCAACGATCGCCCCGTATCGTAGATCCTATGGCCAGCGGGCGCTAGGACGACGACCAGGCAGAGGTCACTTTTCACGCGATCGAGTCAAATGAGCCCGGCGACTGTGCCGCCAACGATCGCCATGGATCGCAGATCCTCTTGCCAACGGGCGCTAAGACGGAGTCGGTGGAGACACGTCCGCTCTCGGTCTCGGCAGTGACCGTCCAGGTGGCGCGCTCCACGGTCGACAACGGGCTCACCTTCGGGCGGGCAGCGGGTGCAGCGGTGCCGACCATACGCAGCGGGCCGAAACTGCTCTTTGCCTGCTTTTTGCCCACAGGCCGTCACGCAGGGAGTCGCTGATAGTGGAGCGTATGCCAGCCATGGAAAAGGAAAGGGGCATCTATTCCGCCCCAATGAATACTACCTGTCTCCATGGCGGCCAAGATCTGTTCAAAAACGGCCCTCCGAGCCTTCCCAAGCGCTGTCCCGACAAAGTTGTTCGAGTTGCGACCAGCCGTGGCGACGAGGGCGCCCCACAAAGGCGCAATAGAAATGGGCACCTTAACTTACGCATTTTTTTAATAAATCTTGGACTGGTAAATGCACGCGGGTAGAGCAAGTATGATGTCCCTCAGAGGTGCAAGAGCCCTCCAGGAGGCACCCTGGAGGACACTGAAGGCTCCAGAAGTCCATGTATGCTCCTGCCAAGTGCCATCCTCAAACATCGTCGTGCGTGGGGGGATCATGGAAGAGGAGGAGAAGAGGATGGGATTAGGCACAAGAAAATGAAGGCGAAGGATGACGATGCTGATGGTGATGACGGTGAGACTGGTGATGATGATGCTGATGCTGATGATGATGTTGTTGATGAAGATGATGGTGATGAGGATGACAATGACGACGATGATGATAATGACGGCGAAGACAACAGCGACAACACTGTTAATGACAATGATGCTGACGAGGATGATGATGCTGATGATGCTGATGCTGATGCTGATGCTGATGCTGCTGCTGCTGCTGCTGCTGCTGCTGATGATGATGATGAAGATGATGATGATGATGATGATGATGATGATGATGATGATGATGATGATGATGATGATGGTGGATGTTGAACTCTCATTTCTGAAAGATTCGCCTGCCCAACGGGCCAGAGGCGTGCTAAGATCTCCGGTAACTGCTTAACAATATTTCTAGTTCGCGCGCGCGGGGCGGCCCCTGGGGGCCCCCGAACGGAAAGTACCCCGGCTGATCCCCGGCCGGGTCCCGGGCGATCCCCCTGGGGGAAGCTATTTTTCGCCACCCCTCACGAGGATCGTGGCCTCCGAGGGGGTGGCTGTAATCGACTACCCCCCCTCCCGCCCCCTAATAAGCCCCAGGGGATCCCAAGACGTCGCCAAGGAGCCCCGAGACGCTCCCAAGAAGCCCCCAAGAGGCCCCCAAGACGGCCCCAAGAAACCCCAAATAGCGCTCCAGGGCCGGCGGAATAAGCGAAGCGATTAAATAATTCTTGTTGACCCCCCCTCACCGGTGCATGCTGTTTTTTCTCAGTCAAAGTGTGCCCCTCGACGCTCGCACCCTGTTTTTTTGTCAAGGAAAATCTTCTTGGTCAAACTGTGCCCCTGGCCCCCAAGACTACAACAACAACGGTTCCCGCCAGAGACTTCCTCCAAATTTACTCAGGACCCCCCCCTCCAGTCTGAGACTTCGTTTCAATATACTCAGGAACGGCGCTGCCGCTTGAGACTTCCTCACAATTTACTCGAGAACGGCGCTCCCGCTTGAGACTTCCTCACAATTTAATTAAGACCCCCGCTCCCATTTGAGACTTCCTCACAATTTGATCAGCAACGGCGCTCCCGCTTGAGACTTCCTCGCAAGTGAATCGAGACTTCGTAGCAATTTAATGAAGACCCCCGCTCCCGCCAGAGAACCCCTCACACTTTATTCAGGAATTGCGCTCTCGCCTGTGCCTTCCATGCAATTTATTTAAATTATCCCGGCAAAGCAACCTAACAGCGATGTGTAGAAGCATATATGGAAGCATTCCCCTTAAGATTCAGATGATAATCCAGTTGTAGAGTTCTGCTGTTCTCGCAGTCGCAGTCGCATTCGCGATGACAGTCGCAGTGGCAGCGGCAGTCGCAGTCACAGCCTCAGCCTGCCTCAGTATCAGCCTGCCTCAGCCTCAGCCTCAGCCTGCCTCAGCCTCAGCCTCAGCCTGCTTCAGCCTCAGCCTCAGTCTGCCTTCAGCCTCAGCCTCTGTGCCTCAGCCTGCCTCAGCCTCAGCCTGCCTCAGTATCAGCCTGCTTCAGCCTCAGCCTCAGCCTGCCTCAGCCTCAGCCTCAGCCTGCTTCAGCCTCAGCCTCAGCCTGCCTTCAGCCTCGGCCTCAGCCTCAGCCTGCCTCAGCCTCAGCCTGCATCAGCCTCAGCCTCAGCCTCACCCTGCCTCAGCATCAGCCTGCCTCAGCGTCTGCCTCAGCCTGCCTCAGCCTCAGCCTCAGCCTCAGCCTCAGCCTCAGCCTCAGCCTGCCTCAGCCTCAGCCTGCCTCAGCCTCAGCCTCAGCCTGCCTCAGCATCAGCCTGCCTCAGTCTCAGCCTCAGCCTGCCTCAGCCTCAGCCTGCTTCAGCCTCAGCCTCAGTCTGCCTTCAGCCTCAGCCTCTGTGCCTCAGCCTGCCTCAGCATCAGCCTGCATCCGCCTCAGCCTCAGCCTCAGCCTCAGCCTGCCTCAGCATCAGCCTGCCTCAGCGTCCGCCTCAGCCTGCCTCAACTCAGTCTGCCTTCAGCCTCAGCCTCAGCCTCAGCCTGCCTCAGCATCAGCCTGCCTCAGCCTCAGCCTCAGCCTGCCTCAGCCTCAGCCTGCCTCAGCGTCTGCCTCAGCCTGCCTTCAGCCTCGGCCTCAGCCTCAGCCTGCCTCAGCCTCATCAGCCTCAGCCTGCCTGCCTCAGCCTCAGCCTCAACATCATCATCACCATTCTCAGCCTCTGCATCAGCATCCAAATGTGGCCCGGGAATGGAGTTCTGGGAACTCGAAGAGCACGAAATGGCCTACAATTGGCTCCGGGCATTCAAAATGTGGCCCGGGAGTGAATGGAGTGGGCACTCGAAGAGCACGAAGTGGCCTACAGTTGGCTCCGGGCAATCAAAATGTGGCCCGGGAGTGGAGTTCTGGGCACTCGAAGAGCACGAAAAGGCCTACAGTTGGCTCCGGGCATTCAAAATGTCGCCCGGGAATGGAGTTCTGGGAACTCGAAGAGCACGAAGTGGCCTACAGTTGGCTCCGGGCATTCAAAATGTGGCCCGGGAATGGAGTTCTGGGAACTCGAAGAGCACGAAGTGGCCTACAGTTGGCTCCGGGCATTCAAAATGTGGCCCGGGAATGGAGTTCTGGGAAGTCGAAGAGCACGAAGTGGCCTACAGTTGGCTCCGGGCATTCAGAATGTGGCCCGGGAATGGAGTTCTGGGAGGTCGAAGAGCACGAAGTGTGTGACTGTTTGCGAAAAGCGAGTTCGGACACGAGTTCGGACACAGCTCCCCGGATGCCGCCCAGACCCCCCTGTGGAGTCATCTGCTGTTCTCTTTTGAGTCCACTAAAAACCTATCAGCAAAAGCTGTTAGGTAAAATCGCGCTTTAGACGCTCAGGAAGCTGCGCCAATGACGCCGTCACAATTTACTTGGGAATCGCGCCCTCGCCATGCTCAGGCATCCCGCTTGAATGTCCCACCTGCCCGACCCGCCCGTCAGGGGATCGCCCGCCCGTCGTGGGCTCCCGCCCGAGACTTCCTTCAGGAACGGCGCTTTCGCATAGGACTTCCTCGAACGTTCACGCTCTTACCTTCCTGCTCCTCCTGCCTCCTCCCTCCTCTCCTCCCTTCTCTCTTTCCCTCCTCTCTTCCCTCATCCTTATGCCTCTCTGCCCTATCTCCTCTCCCTCCTCTCCCTCCTCCCTTCTCCCTCCCCTCTCCTGCCTCCTCCCTCCCTCTTTCTTTCTTTTCCTTTGTGTTTCTCTCTCTCTCTCTCTCTCTCCTCTCTCTCTTTCTCTCTCTCTCTGTGTCTTTCTCTACCTCTCTTATCTGTCTTTCTGTCTCTCTCTCTCTCTCTCTGCCTCAATCAACCGCACCCCTCTTCGCTCCTTCTCTCCTGACGTTTTCCCTCTTCTTTCGTCCCTCCCCCTCCCTTCCTCCCACTCTCCCTCGTTCTGCCCCTCCTCTTTTTGCAAGGCCCACACCAATTCCAATGGCGGGCACATGTACGCACACAAAGGATTGTCCGCCCGTTCAGGTTTGCCTGTCTGTCTAAGCCCGCCGCCCCCCGCAAAGAGAAATAATCCCCCAACGTGGGTGTGCTCGAAAGCAAAAAGGGCGGGTATCGAGGGTGTGGGGAACTCGTTTCGAATGACACAAGGGCAAGTAAGAGCGAACAGTCTTATCATGATTGTTGCTGCTGTTGTTGCTGATGTTGATGGTGATGGTGGTGGTGGAAGCGATGATGATGCTGATGCTGATGTTGCTGATGATGATGACGAGATGATGGCGATGATAATGACGATGAACATGAATCTGAACATGATGATGATAATGAGGGCGATAATGCTGATGCTGCGGTTGATGGTGATGATGATGGTGTTGATGGCACTGCTGATTGTGATTATGAGGATACGGATGATGATGATGCTGATGATGATGATGATGATGATGATGATGATGTTGATGCTGCTGATGATGCAGATGAGGATGACGATGAGGATGCGGGTTCGGATGGTGATGCTGCTGCTGATCATGATGATAGGTGTGGTGATGATGCTGCTGCTGATGATGACGAGGAGAAGGAAGAGGAGGAAGAGGAGGATAAGGAGGAGGAGGAGGGTGGATGGGCCTAAGAGGGGAAAGGGAAGGAAGGAGGGAGGGAGGAGGGGAAGGGAACAGCATGAAAAGGAGAGGGATGAGGATTAATCGGAGGAGGGGGAGGAGGAGGAGGAGGAGGAGGAGGAGGAGGAGGAGGAGGAGGAGGAGGAGGAGGGAGGAGGAGGAGAGGAGGAGAAGAAGAGGAGAAAGGAGGAGGAGGAGGAGGCGGAAACGCAGCAGGATGAGGAATATTAGGGGAAGAAGGGGAGGAGGGAGGATGAGGGATGAGGATGAGGATGAGGATGAGGATGAGGATGAGGATGATGATGATGATGAGGAGGAGGAGGAGGAGGAGGAGGAGGAGGAGGAGGAGGAGGAGGAGGGGGCGGAGGCGGAGGCGGAGGAGGAGGAAGAGGAGGAGGCTGATGAGAAGGAGGAGGAGGAGGGGGAGGAGGAGGAGGAGGAGGAGGAGGAGGAGGAGGAGGAGGAGGATGAGGAGGAAGAAAAGGATTAAGACTAGAAGTGCACCCAATTCGCATCAACGATGCTACAACACACCCTCTCGTTTCAGGTCCCCTCCTCATGGGTCCCGGCGGGTCTTCCTTTCCAATGCGGCAGCCGCTTTCTTTGCACAAGCCTGCAGTTCAGATTCAGGCGAAACCTCGCTTTGTGTAGGATCCAGTTTCCATCATTCTAATAATCCGCTTGCCCTGTCGGCGTGTGGGGTGCGCTGTTCTGTTTGACTCGTCGTCTTCGTCGTCGTCGTCTTCGTCGTCGTCGTCGTCGTCGCCGTCACCGTTGCCGTCGCCGCTCTCTTCCGTGTCCATGGGACCTCCTCGTCAACCGCCAGCCATAAGGACATTGAGCAACGTCGTAGTTCAGTCGAAGGGGGAAACCCCTTCTTTTTGATCACGACTCAGCCAGGAGGGGTGGGGAGGGTAAAGGGTGGGGCGGGGTGGGCGGGGTGCGGCGGGGGGAGGGAGGGGGTAGGGGGTGAGGTCAAGTTCGCCAGCTCGAACGAACCAGAGGGCTCCGTCCACTCCCAACCGCCCTCCCGCAACATCAGAAGCAACTGCGTCGCGTCCGACGCCTGTCGCTCATCTTATATCGTGGGCGGCTAGACGTTCAGCGCGCGAAACGAGCTGCATCCTATTCCTGCCGCGTATTGAGCAACGCCGACGTGAAACAAGGCCGCGCGCGATGTACGCCGCGCCCCGCTCAGGCCTCTCATGTTGCATCGTCGGCGACAACATGTCCAGCGCGCGAAGTGCGCCGCGTCTCATTCCAGCCACGCGTGTTGCACCGCCAATCGTTTCGCTCCTGCCGCGCATGGAGGCGGGGGAGGAGGAGGAGGAGGAGGAGGAGGAGGAGGAGGAGGAGGAGGAGGAGGAGGAGGAGGAGGGGGAGAAGGAAAAGGATTAAGACCAACAGTAGACTCAATTTACATCAACGATGCTACAGCACACCCTCTCGATTCAGGTCCCCCCCCTCATGAGTCCCTACGAGTCTTCCTTTCCAATGCGGCAGCCGCCTTCTTGGCAGAAGGACGGTCTGTAAACCTGCAGCTCAGATTCAGGCGAAACCTCGCTTTGTGTAGGATCCAGTTTCCATCATTCTAATAATCCGCCTGCCCTGTCGGCGTGTGGGGTGCGCTGTTCTGTTTGGCTCGTCGTCTTCGTCGTCGTCGTCGTTTTCGTCGTCGTCGTCGTCGCCGTCACCGTTGCCGTCGCCGCTCTCTTCCGTGTCCATGGGACCTCCTCGTCAACCGCCAGCCATAAGGACATTGAGCAACGTCGTAGTTCAGTCGAAGGGGGAAACCCCTTCTTTTTGATCACGACTCAGCCAGGAGGGGTGGGGAGGGTAGGGGGTGAGGTGGGGTGGGTGGGGTGGGCGGGGGGAGGGAAGGGGTAGGGGGTGAGGTCAAGTTCGCCAGCTCGAGGGCTCCGTCCACTCCCACCCGCCCTCCCGCAACATAAGAAGCAATTGCGTCGCGTCCGACGCCTGTCGCTCATCTTATATCGTGGGTGGCTAGACGTTCAGCGCGCGAAATGAGCTGCGTCCTGTTCCTGCCGCGTATTGAGCAACGCCGACGAGAAACAAGACCGCGCGCGATGTACGCCGCGCCCCGCTCAGGCCTCTCATGTTGCATCGTCGGCGACAACATGTCCAGCGCGCGAAGTGCGCCGCGTCTCATTCCAGCCACGCGTGTTGCACCGCCAATCGTTTCGCTCCTGCCGCGCATGGAGGAGGGGAAGGAGGAGGAGGAAGAGGGGAGGGAGACAGGGAGGGAGAAACTGAGGATGAGGAGGATGCCTCTTGGGAATTCGCGGGGCGTCCTGGGAGTTTTCTGGTATGCGCCTGACGGCCTCTTGGATAGACCTTCCCGGTTGGAACATTGTCAACACAAGTGGGTGCTAACCTCACAATCCTTCAAACACCAAATGAACATCAATATTTGTGTTGCCCCCCCAAAACCTCCTGGACGTTTTTTTTTCTACCTCTTGGGGGTCTCTTGAAGCACTTGCTTGAACCGCACTTGCTTGAGGCATTGTGACTTGCCGCCCGCCCAGCTCCTCAACCCGACGGGCCGCAGCGTCGACGACAAGGAATGCCATGTTGACGAGCAGGCGTCTCCGCGCGATGTGCGCCGCGTCCCATTCCCGCTACGCGATTTGCAGCGCCGACAAGGAGGAAATACATGTTGGCAAGAAAAACGTCAACGTTGCAATTTTTTACAAGCAGGACGGGGGGTCCCGCGTAGGGTTGGCCAGGCGTCCGCGCGCGATGTGCGCCGCGTCCCATTCCTGCTGCACTTTTCGCAGCGTCGACGGCAACAAAGTCCACGTTGGCGAGGAAAGCGCTGATTTTGTATTTTTCTGATAGGTAGGACGCAACACACCGCTTCCGGTTACCCAAGCCATGTTCATTACATCCCATTGCTGCTACACTTTTCGCAACTCGACGTCATGTTGAAGAAAAACAAATTCAGCTTGTGCTGTTTTTTATGACAATTAGGACGGCGGGGTTGCTATCGGCCGGCTAGGTGGGGATGTGGGGGTGTTTCATCATAAGAAGTAAGGGTGGGTGGTGGGGGGAGCGGGGGGTGGGGGGGCGGGTCAGAACCGGGGGGGTGGGGGGGGGGGGGCGGGTGGTGGTGGTGGGGGGCGTTTCTTTTTCACCCCCACCCTTCCCCGAACGACGCTCGACACTGGCGCCGGCGCGCGTTGCCTGAGTAGCAGCCCTTTCCTCGAGGGCCTTCTCTCCCAAGGCCTCCGCCTCGGCTCGACTCGAAAAGTCCGCAAGCTCACAGCAAGGCCAGCCTTCTGCAGCGGGCCTTGCTCCCAAAAAGGTGGAATCCTCGCAGCTGGCGCAGGTGGTCTGTCTTCTGCCTCGCCGAAGTGGCCTGCCCAGAGCTGGCCTGGGTGTCCGCAGATGGAGATCTCCTTGGGAGGATGAGGCTTAGGAGAAGACGGAGAGGAAGATCGAGGACGACGACGAGGAGGCGTAACCTGAAGTCACACATCCAGACCAAGCATAACACCCAGGGCGCGGAACGCCGATGGAGATGATGGCGTGGCGGGACCATCAGGGGGCGCGAGGTTGGAAGCGAAGTCCGCTTCTCCTCCTCCTCCTCGCGGTGCTCGTTCTCCTCCTACTCCTCCTTCCAATCCACCTGTGATCGCAGGATTCCACGGCAAGAGGCCAGAAGCAGGCCCTGCTTTCCATCCCTGCTCCTTCTGAGCCTCCCCCCCTTCCCCTGCCTCCGCCTGAGCTCCTCCTCCAGCTCCTGGGGCATCCCTGGGTCCTCCAGAGCCCTCCCGCGGCCCGCGACGGCGACAACGACGACGAACACTACTACGAACGCGACCACGACGATCACGACCACGACGACGACAGAGACGACGACAGAGACGACGACGACGACGAAGACGACGACCGCAAGGATGACGACGAACACGACGACCCCACGACGACCACGCAGACGACGACATCAGACGACCGCCTCGACGAAGACGATGATGAAGGTCACGACGGCTATCGCCCTGACATTCGCCGGACTGTTTGTTTTCAATCCGCGGCCCCACAAATCCCGACCGGTGCTTCAACTGGGCTTTTTGGCCCCAGATCCGTGTCCGATGGCCCCCGGCCCATAATCGGCCGCCGAGGGCCGGTGTCGAGGAAGCACCGCCAGTGGGTAAGATCATGTCGTCGGACATCTGGGAGGACGACGGCTCTGGTCGCCAATGTCACGCCCGAGGTCCAGATGGGGTCCCGACTCTCTCCCTGGGGCCCGCTCCCCGCCCCGAGCTGCGTTTTCTGACGGTCCCGGGGCCCGGCCACGGTCCCCTCCAGAGGCCGAAAACGGGGCAACGAAAGCCTCCGCCTCGGCCCTTGTGCAGCGCTGGAGGTCCGGGGGCGACGACCGACGGGCGCCGCCACGGCCGGCCCCCCCGGGGGGTCGCCACGATCACGCCCGTGCGGGGGTCCAGCGCCAGGCCGCCGGGGAGGGGCGGGTCGACCGAGAAGGTGGCCACGCCAGGCTCGGCCGCGGGGCACCAGGGGCGCCTGCGGCTCCGAGGGCAGGGCAGGGAGGGGGGGCTCTCGAGGGAGGGGTGGGGGGAGACGGGTGGAGGTCTCTGAGCGGGAGGGTGGAGGCAGCGATCGAGGGAGGGGGGAGGGAGTCAGGATGAGGTCTCCGACTCGGAAGAGGGAGGAGGGAGGCCTCTGGAGGACTCTACAGGCAGGGTGAAGCTCGGCAGTCTGTTTTCCGCACCGTGGGCGCTGAAAAGATGACGGCGCTCGAGGTTCAGAAGGGTGTAGGTGCGGCTCTCCACGCTGCCCTGCCCCAGCAGCGCGCCAAGAGGGGTGGGGTGCATCGGGGGGTAGCCCTCTCGAGAACGGCACGGTCACCCCCAGGAAGGATCCGCCACTTGAACGACGAAGAGAGATGAGGTCCTCCGCGCGGTGACATAACGCTACCACACGCGGCGGCTTTCGCGGGCCGCCAGCGCTGCACGCCGCATCGAAAACGAGGGCGCTTACGCGCGTCGTTGATACACGTCGGTCGGAAGAAGTAGGTCAGAACCTGAAGTAGGAAGGCATATTCAGCTGATTGGGATCAGGCCCTCCCAGAGAAAAACAAACTTCTGCAAATGCATATAGGTTCTTGAAGTAGGAAGGTGCTTGGAGTACATTGGGATCTGGGGATACAGAAATACCTACTTTCAACGACCGTCGTCTACGTGCGTCCTTGCGCGAGCAGCTTACGCGCGAACGTTGGCGCAGCCGACCTCGTTTTTTTCTGCGTCGGTCGGGCGGCGAGGTGCCCAGGCCACCTCGCGTCGTGAAGATACCGCGGCGCTTTTTTCTTGCCGTCCGTCGCTGGCCTCTTGGGGCCCCCTCGCCCCTCGCCGGACCCCGTGGCGGTCGGTCGGAGAAATGGATAGAAGCATGAAGTAGAAAAGCGTTAGAAGTATATTGGGCTTCCGGCCGCCCTCCGAAGAAGGAATATGGAAAACCACTCGATCCTTGAAGTAGGAAGGCGCCAAAATAGATTGGGACCTGTGCACCCCAAAATACCTACTTTCAACGGCCGGCGTGTATGGGGCACGACTGTGTAAACAAAAACAACACACTTGACACACGCGAAAACACGGATGCTCTTATCATGTCTCCCAACCTCATCCTCTCAACCCGATAAATGTCTTTTTTTTATCCAATAACAACTCAGGATGAGAAGCGGGTCCTGCGGAAAGGGTGAGGGCTTCCGGGGAAGCCCGTATGGAACAAATCAAGACGTTGGACCTCTAGGTAGGAGCCCAGATCTCCGACGATGTGTTTTGTCAACAGGCCCTGGGGCCAGCAGAATGGGTCCAGGACGAAGAACTACCCCCGGGAAGTGGTGTTCGGGACTTCTGGGGCCGCGCCTTGGGAAAACCACATCGCAGGATTTCTGGGAAGGAGGAGGTAATGAAGGAGGGAGGGAGGGGCGGGGTACGGAAGCTGGCAGGCAGGGGGAGGAGGGATCGACGGTGGCAGGAGGGAGGGTATCAAAGGAGGAGGTAGGGAGGGGGAGGGATGAAGCTGGTAGGGGAGAGAGGGGCAGGGATGAAGCTGGTAGGGAGAGAGGGGAGGAGGGAGGGTCGACGATAGTAGGCGACGGAACAGGAGGAGGAGGAGGAGGAGGAGGAGGAGGAGGAGGAGGAGGAGGAGGAGGAGGAGGAGGAGGAGGCGGAGGAGGCGGAGGAGGCGGAGGAGGCGGAGGAGGCGGAGGAGAGACGGCAGACCCGATGTAGGCCTGGGCGTTTTCAGCGTTTTCAGCCTTTTGAGCTTAAAACGCTGGAGACAAAAAAACAAGCGAAAACCATAACCAACAACACTCAAACAACCAAACAAACCTAGCAACAACTATGATTCAGAACAAAACATCGGGATGGTGCAGGAGGGTTTGCCAGAATTCGTACTTTTCTCGTGTGGAGGCTGTTGCGGCGGAGGAGGAGGAGGCGGAGGAGGAGGAGGAGGAGGAGAAGGAGGAGGAGGAGGAGGAGGAGGAGGAGGAGGAGGAGGAGCAACAACTGTTGAGGAGAAAGCGCAGAGGGCGCGAACTCTGGGACTCTAACGCTACTCCTGAGAACTTCACCTCAACCCTCAGACCACAACCCTCACCGTGTTACCCAGGGATCTTAACCCTACGGCCTTCACCCTGACCTGAAGCGCCTCCAACCCGAATGTCCGAACCCTAAGACCCTGACCCTAATACACGAACCCCTACCCTAAAACTTTAACCCTAAGACCCGGACCCTTACCCTGAGGCCCTAACCCTAGGACCCTCACCCGAAGACCCGAACGAGCTTAACCCTAACCCTAAACCCTTACTCCTACCCAAACTTAAAAGAACCGGACCATAACCCAAACACATTCAGACCCATCCCAACGCTATGGCTCCAACCTTAAGACAACGACCCTCACCTGACGGCCCCAACACTTACCCTAAGACCGGAACCCTAACCTCAAGCACCATACCCTCAACGCAAGACCCCAAGCCGATGATGCCAATCCTAATCCAAAGCCCAAAAATCCTAACCATAACCCAAATACCCTAACCCTAAGACCCAAACCCTAACCCTAAGACCACACCCTGAGATACCAACCCGAACTCTAAGACCCCAACCCAAATATCGTAACCCAAACCTCAAGACCTTACTCATAACCTCAAATCCGAACCCTAATACCCTAACCCTCAAGACCTAACCCCAATCCGAATACCCTAGCCCTAAACCGAAGACGGGCACCCTGACCATGGTATCCTACTCGTAGGACCCTAGCCCTGATACCCGAAACCAAACACTTCAACCCTGACCCACTAACCTGAACGCTAAAGCTCTAACCCTAAGAACCCAACAACTAACCCGAATCTCTTAACCCTAACGTTACGATCCTAACCTTAAGACACTAATCATAACTGTAAGACCTTACTCCGAACACCCGATCCCAAAACTTAAGATCCGAAACCTATGACCCTCACCAAAAGACCCTAACCCTAAGAACCGAACCCGAAAACCCGAACACGAATACCCTAACCGTGAACCTAAGACCCTTGCCCGAGCCTTGATTCAACGCAGACGTAAGACCTTACAATCCAACGACCCAAACCTAGCCTTCAGACTCGAACTCTAACCCTCAGATGCTAACCCAATAACCTAACCCTAAGACCCTAGCCCTACGACCCTCGTCCTAACCCAAGCTCCTAACTGTAAGACGCTGACCCTAACCATACCCCTAAGACCCTACCCCTAAGACCCTAACCCTAAGACCCCAGCCTTAAGTCTACGACCCTGACCCTAAGACCCTAAGCCCAAGCCGAACCCGAAGACCACAGCCCTACTTCCCTAATATGAAGATCCTACCCCTAAGACCTTAGCCATACCCCTGAGACCTTACCCCAAACGCCCTAGACCGAAGAACCTGAACCCGAACCCTAGGGCCCTAACCATAGGACAGCATCCCCCAAACTCTGACCCTACGACTTTAACCTTAAAGCCTTCGTCCTAGAACCCTCCTGTACTACCCTAACACTAACCCTAAGACCTCAGCCCTCACCTCTAAGGCGCTGAGCCTTCATGGAACCCTACGACCCTACCTCCCGTACCCTAGCCCTAATACCCCAGCCTCAGTCCCAAGACCCTAACACTAAGACCCAAACCCTAACCCGACGACCACACGCCTAAGGCCCTAACCTGACGAGCCTACCCCTGCTACCCTAACCGTATCCCTGAGGCCTTAACCCTACCGCCCTAGACCGAAGAGCCTGGACCTGAGCCCTGTAACTCTAACCTTAGGACTGCATCCCCACGACCCTAACTCTAAGACTCCAACCTTAAGCCTTCGTCCTAGGACCCTCCCCTACTACCCAAACGCTGACCCTAAGGCCTTACCTAAAACTCAACACCTTGACGTTCACTCTGAGACCCTAACCCTTTTCTAAGACCCTACGACCCTATCCTCACCCACACCCAAAGACTCTGCCCCTACGGCCCTAACCCTCACCCTGCGACCCGATCCCTAATCCTGCGGCCCCCACCCGTGCAGTTTGGGCGGCGTCCTGCTCGATTGGGAAAACACCAGCACCGCCCAGGCCTACATCGGGTCTGCTTCAACAGGAGGGGGAGGACGGAGGGTGAGGAGGAGGAGGATGAGGAGGAGGAGGGGGAGGAAGAGGAAGAGGAAGAGGCGGAGGCGGAGGAGGAGGAGAAGGTAGGGAGGAGGTAGGACGGAATCGAAGCGTAGGAGTCAAGAGGGAGGGCTGACAGTTGTTTTGACATGCATTCGCTTCTAAACGTCTTGTTGGACATGTTTGAGGGGATCTGAATGCCTGACGACGAAGGCCAGGAAGCTGATGGAAGGAGAGGCGAGGAGGAACATGACTACGGGTAGAAACATGAGCAGGATATGCGTAGATATGCCTAGTTGTCTTGCTCCTCGCTTATTCATTGACTTGTCTGGGCAAGGGGAGGGGCGTATTATGAGGGCAACGGGGAAGATGCTTAGTATGATCCTTGATAAGGACGGACGAACGCAGAGGGGTGAGCAAGAGGGAGGATAGCGTGAATTCTATGATGCTGATTGCGGTGATGGTGAGGAAGAGTCGCGGGGAGGAGCGTCGCTGCTGGGCGTAGACGAAAGGGGGAATGGATGGAGGGAGGGATGGAGGGAGGCAGGGGAACAAGAAATAGGAGGAGGACGAGGAGGAACAAGCGAACTATAAGGAACATTAGCGGGACGAGGGGGAGGCCCCGATACTGGCAGTAAAGGTCCCCCACCACCAAACCCTCCCTCGTAGTGAAACAAGATGACGGAACTGTTTTGACAATTTTCGGTTCTCTGGGGTCCTCGCTGGGCCCTATGGCAGGACACAACACCTATGGACGAGAAACAAGTCCTTGGGAATGAATCGAGACTTCAGGGGCCCACATGGTCGAACAATTCATAGTTTGCTAGTTAATACGTGTGTGGTGTTGCTTGCGTTTGTCATTCCAGCTTTCACTGTTTCGCTCCTTCACCTCACA